GCAACTGGTGACAGGGGGACTGGTTTGTGGGTGTGGCCAGCCAGCCATCACTACCGGTTCGCCGAATTGGGCAAAATTTCCGCTACCGATTCAGGTGAACTGATGCTGAATACCACCTCTGATCATCCCCTGCAAGTTCCTGCATATAATTTCAGGAAACTTCATCTTATTTATCCTGCAAGTGCCTTTAAGCAAACTCTGTTTCTGACTGTACTAGAATAGCCACAGAAATCAAAGAAATGCAGAGAAATTAAAGGCTGCAGGCATGAAAGAATACACACATTATCCTGGTAATATATTTGAATGCCGAAGTTTAGTCTGATACTGTTCTCATGCTTTGCAAAAGACATTTATTTATTCTAGAAGTTACATTTTTTCCTACAGGAATATGAAAAGAGAAATTTGCTTTCATGCCCTGGTGCATATAGGCTTTCTGGAAGCAGCCGTAGGGCTGTCCAAAAGCAGATTGTTAGCCTAGATTTTATTTTTTTGCTTCGATTCAGCAGGAATGATTTTCTGATCTTGCCAGCTCTTATATATTAGAAGCCAAATTGCTTTTCCTTTCAAGTACTATTGGAAGGATTAATATTTGTATGGAAGGTCTTGGTTAGCTCAAACATTTATCTCCCCTTTCTCTTTCTCTGTCTATCTAGTCATTAGAGACAATTGTTGGGATTTCTCCTTTGCTGACAGCAATTTAATTATGTGTACTTTTTGGCACACTGGAAGGTCCTCTCTGCAGATACTGTGTGTTTTGGCAAAATGGGCAGTCTGGACTGCAGGATAAGGCATCTATCAGGGATGCAAATCTACCAATTCCTGGAATACATATCTGGGATGGGGAAGGTGGGTGTTGCTCATTAGAGCTCTTTCAAATCGTGCCTGAGACACAGCTTCGTTATAGGATGCTTTTCAAGTCAGCCTGACAGCCAGAACTGGGCCCCTCAAAGGCCAGCTCATTTCAATCAAATGAAAACTAAAGTATGATTAGAAATTGAAGTGGATGTTGCATGATAGGATTAGAAGCCTGGTGGCTTGCACCCCCCTGCCTGAACTTCTATTGGCCTTCTCCTAATAGAGGAGATAGATCATAATATATCGTATTTTTCAGAGTATAAGACACACCAAGATTTTGAAGAGGCAAATTTTTTTTAAAAAAATTTCCACTTTGCAGACTCCCCAAAAAAGGCCCGTTTTTCGCAAAAATGGGTCCTTTTTTTAAAGAAAAAAGGCATGAATAGCCTTTAGGAGGCTTGTAGAGTGCTCCTGGGGTCGGGGGAGGAGGGCAAAATTGAGAAAAAAATGGCCCATTTTTTGTTCATTTCTGCCCTCCCCAGCCTCCAGGAGCACTCTATAAGCCTCCTAAAGGCTCTACACAAACATTTTGGTGAAGGGGCGGGGTTTCAGGAGGCAAAAAATGCTGTATTCAATGTATAAGACGCACCCAGATTTTCAGCCTCTTTTTTGAGGGGAAAAAGGTGCATCTTATACTCCGAGAAATACGGTAAATACTGCTCTTCCTGGACGCTTGTGAATTATTTAAAACAGGAGTGTCAAGCTTGGGTTCCGCGATCCAGATGCATCACACATTGGCCACATCCACACTCGGTTTATCGAAGGGGGGGAGTCACAATACATCACCTGACGACGAGTTTGACACCCCTGGTTTTAAACATCTAAAATTTCTAAAAAATGATATAGGTAGAATTAAGTTACAGTACAGAGTTCAAAAGATTCTGATATTTTTTTAAAGAGCCATGTAGAGTAAATGTCTTGGTTTTAAAACAGAGAGAGTGAGGGCATGTATTCAGGCAAACCAGAATGCTAAGACTACAGTAAAAACAGAAAAATTGCTTAAGGCACAAAAAATGATAAAAATGAGTTCCCAAGAAACACACAAGTAGTCCTCCACTTACATCAATTCATTTAATGACTCTTTAAAGTTACAATGGCACTGAAAAAAGTGACTTTATTACTATTTTTCAGAATTACGACCTTTGGAACATCCCCATGATCATGTGATTAAAAACATACTTATGACCTTTGCTGTTTCCCAAAGTTTTTTTTTGCGACCTTCTAACAAGCAAAGTCAATGGGGGAGCCAGATTCACTTAACTACTAACTTAATAACTGCAGTGATTCACTTAACAACTATGGCAAGAAAGGTTGTAAAATGAGGTAAAACTCACTTAACAAATGTTCTCATTGAACAGAACAGAAATGCTGGGTTGTAAGTCAAGGGCTACCTGTATTAATAAATTTAATTGGGTCCAAAGGAACATAAAAAGGATTATTTAAAACTGTAATTTAAAGGTCACCTTATTGAGAGGAGTAGAATGTAGAATGTAAAATTATATATTAATAAATATATAATTCTACAGAAAAATAAGCTTTATCGATGGGTATACCAACACTGATATTGCAAGAAACTTTTTTCAATATTTTGACAAAGATAAAATCTTGTGCAGATTATTAGCTTCAGGTCAGTTTGTAATAAAGCCACGAAGTCTTATCACAGGTGAGATTGCTGAACTGGCACACCTTATTGAAACCTGGCTTGGCTGAAGAGGATGGGGTCCCCTTTCATTTGCCTGACTGGGTTTCATGTACTACATCAGAGAAAGGGTGGAGGTATGGCATTGATCATTTGAAATAAATGGGTGTATGACCCTGTTTGTTAATTTGGGCTCTAGGATTCAGTTTGGATTTTTGTTATTGTACCAGCCTTCTGCTCTGTAGCATCCTCTCTGCCCAAGTTCCTTGATTCTATTGCCAAGTTACTTCCTAAACCTATGGGAAACCTGCTTTTTCTTCAGTAGCTCATGGCCACCATGACATCTATGTGCCTGTCCCAGATAACCCAGGGAACTACACGAAATAGAGGTTATATTCCTGACCTGGTTTTATTCTCAGAGCAAATATAATCTGATGCTGGAGGATATTTCTGTTCCTCTCCCCTGTTGTTGTCAGATCACTTTCTGGTGGTCTGCAGGTCTCTGGTGCTGCCTTCCACTACAGGGAGGCTGGATTTATTAGATCAGTCCACATTAGGTAGCTGATGAATCCAGTTGCAATGAGAGGGAAGCTGGGGTTCTGGATCAAGTTGCATCCAAATGACATCTCCTCCTTCAGGGCTCCTCAAACTCCCCTTGGTTTACAAAGGAGTTGAGGGAGATGAAGTAGATAAAAAGATACTGGGAGATGGTGGAAGAAGACAATTGGTGAATTTTCCAAACATGGATTGGAACTGTTATTAGGGTTTACCCAGTGGTGGGATTCAGCCAGTTCGCACCTCTTTGGGAGAAGCGGTTGTTAACTTTTTGAGCAGTTTGGTGAACTGGCTGTTGGAAAAAATCATAGGGCGGAGAAACAGTTGTTAAATTATTTGAATCCCACCACTGGGCTTACCTCATGGCAACAAAGCCAGCCAAAGATTCTTACTACATCCTTCCAGAGGGTCTGAGGTTCACCTAGAAGATCATTTAAGGAATTTGAAGGGCATCTGATGGATGAAAAAAATCCTAAGATTCACTCGAAATTAGACTCTAGCCTTAGAGAAGGTCAATAGTTAACCGTGGTTTGTTGATTAAACCAGAGTCAGTTCATTTCAGATAATATGCAAAATGTTTATCAGCTTTAATAATCATAGACTGAAACTATAGTATCCATCTTCTTCAAAATTATTGGTATGGTTCCAAAAGATGTTAAACTATAAACATTATTTATAAATTATATTGGCTTGATTCACAGAGCATACTAAGATACAGAGAAATGTTTTGGGTAAACCCAATAATATGGGGATGTTGATATGGGTAATTTTTTGCAAAGAAATTAAGTAAATCAATCCAATTGAACCAAGGGCAAATAGTAGCGATGCCATGAACTAAGAGTTTGGAACCCAGATCCCTCAATTTTAAATGGCTTACCTAAGTATTTCTATTTTACCTTTCTAAATCTAGATAAAAATGGATTTTGTCCTTGTTTTCCTAACCAATTTCTACCTTCAGGAGAATTAGGGTTTTCTTCCAAGTAGACAAGTATAGGATTGCAGTGTTAATGTATTAATTGGATAGCCGTTGCAGCTTTTCCAACCTCATAACTCTTAAGAAGCAGTGAAACGTGGTAGAAACAAAGCCATGTGTACACAGGGAAAGAGTCATAAATTGCCCAGTTGAGCACTTTTCAGTCTTTAAAACTTTCCCCAAGGCAAGAGTTCAGATGCAGATTTTGCGTCAGATTGCCATCAAAGACTTCTTGGAATTGGCTGTCTTAAATCTGTCTGCCACATGTGTCTGTGTGTAGGTTCTCTCTAAGGGTCACTTTTTGAGTTAACTGCTGCTGAAGCAACTAACATTTCTCAGCTGTTCTTGGCACAGCTTTCAAGGTATGTCGTCTGGGGAATGTCCTCTTACTAGCTTCTTTGGGGAATATCAGAAAATATAAGTATGTTTCCTAGGGTTAAAAAAGAATGAGAAGTTGATTTTATTCCCCTATGTATAAGAAACAACCTCTGCATTTTCTTAACTCACTGTTTTTCTTGTTTTATATTTTTGCCTATTGTGATTTCAGTTTATGTACCAGGTTTGCTTAGGGAATTTATTACCTGTGAAATCAAAGGGTAAACTGATTTGGAAGTATTCTATTAATTAGTATCACTTTAAGCAGGCGCAAGTGAGCATTTTAGATCATTCTTGGATAGACAAAGAGGGGGGAATACTTCTTCAAAAGCAGCACTGACAAAACACCTCTAGACATTTCACAGCGAATTTCAAGCATTTGATTAATTCAAATTAGCCAAACATTATACTTTATTCTCTCTAAGTGTCTTTAGTGAAATTCGGATTTCATTCTTTTGTCTGTTTTCCGTAAATTGAAAAATTAAACATTGTCTGTGATTATTTTAGGTTCGTAAAGCAGAGGAAAGCAAGAAGGTGTTTCCAAACTGATTGCATTAACCAAATCAAACATTGATTCAAGAGGAAAAGTGTGCAAATCCTAAAATGACTCCTTTGTGCGTGCAGTTCTATTTTAGTGGCTTAATCTTCTGGATGATACAAAAATCAAGCTTCTTCATGCTGCCCAATACTACTGACCTTCTTTATCCCTCCAGCAGCCCTGACACCAGAAACATTTATATCCATGGAGTATCAAAGATTCGCAAGAAGCGTTATATTTTTTCCAGGGAAATGAGTGCCCTTTTGGGCTATCATAATCAAGTGCGGGCACAAGTTTCTCCTCCAGCTGCTAACATGGAGTATATGGTAAGTTTCTTTTGTACTTGCTACTTGGGGTTGGAAACAGCACATTGACACTGAGACAACATACACTGTAAATTGATTGTTTGGTGGACAGCTCCTTTGAGGTGTGGTGTAAAAGTTCTGCCAATTCTCCAAAACAGAGGTTAAATGCTCCTGGTTCAGACTGGTTTGCCCAAACTGGTAGTAAAAATGCTACCGGTTCAGACGAACTGGCATTTCTGACAATCAAGTGTGATGTGCGATTTATATTAGCTAGAATCGTCAGTGTTCCTGCTTTTTATCTAATCTAAATCGTGTGGCATAGTGGATTTCCCCCCATCGCTATTCTGCTTACCTTTGCAGGCGCCCGCAGTAACAAGCTCCGCCCACCCACCTAGAAGTCATCACGTCCCATTTTTGATGCTCTGCGCATGCGCGGAGGTGGCGTGTGCACTCACATTTGCAATCCCTGTCACAAAGCTTTATTTTTAAAGTTTGACAAACTATTTTAGTAAAGTCAGGACAAGAAGCAATGGATGGAAATTAATCAAGGAGAGAAGCAACTTAGACATTTCCTGACAATTAGAGCAATTAATCAGTGGAATAACTTGCCTCCAGAAGTTGTGAATGCTCCAATGCTGGAAGTCTTTAAGAAGAGTTTGGACAACCATTTGTCTGAAATGGTATAGGGTTTCCTGCCTAAGCAGAGGGGATGGTGGACTAGAAGACCTCCAAGGACCCTTTCAACTCATTCTATTCTATTCTATTCCATTCCATTCCATTCCATTCCATTCTATTCTAAATGTGAGGATGACATTAATGTACTTAAGGTGTTTTTTTAAGTTGTGTTTGTGTACAAAAGTTGTTAGATACTTGCATTTTTCCTAGTTAAGTAGCAATGGAAATTTCTGAAGATACATGAGCTATATATCATCTTTGTCAGTAATCATTTGGGAGTTATGTTTTTGAAACAGCTTGCCTCCAGAAGTTGTGAATGCTCCAATACTGGAAGTCTTTAAGAAGATGTTGGATAGCCATTTGTCTGAAACGGTATAGGGTTTCTTGCCTAGGCAGGGGGTTGGACTAGAAGACCTCCAAGGTCCCTTCCAACTCTGCTATTGTATTGTATTGAAAAGTCTTACCTTAGAGCAGTGGTTCATGAAAGCCATGCCCCACAGGGGGGCAATTTGATTTTCAATGGGAGCAATTTGAACCTTGTTTAAAGCAAGTGAATGGCCTTTTAGGCTTCCTCCACATGAGTAGAGTTCACTTTTTGAGTAAAGTAAGAATTACGTATATGTGGGTGGGGGCATCAGGATTTTAGAGAAACCTTATAAGTATTTATGAAACTTTGAAGTAATATGGTAAAGCATTGATTATTCAGTTTTATGTTTTAAAATCAAATCTGAAAGTATATGTCCTACTTTTTGTTTTAATATGCTTTAATATCTGGCACTAGATTCATAGATTACAAATTTATGAGTTTGGAAGCAGTGATGACGAATAATTGTGAAATGAGCTGGAGGTAGAATAACTGGTGTTCTTACAAAAGGTCCATATTAATTTAAAATCATGCTCGGGTAATATTGGGGACAATAATTGCATATTTTGGTGATCTCTAATATGGTAGGATAGCTTTGTGCTAGAGGGGGGGGAAAAGGGAAAGGTCATTTTCTCACAAACATAAAATCTGCTTGCATTAAGAATGTGTGCTAAATAGATCTCCAGGCATACTCAATTTTAGCTAGATGATTTAAAATCCATTAAAATTATCTTTAATTTTCTGCTCTCAGCCTGAAATGAAGCAATTGAAATTCATTTATATTACTTACTATATATAGCTGATGCTTCTGTAGCCAGAGATAGGCAACCTACTACCAGCAATTCTCAGCTTAGTATTCAAAATGTCTCTGTAAGCAAGCAATCAACATCCAAATCTCTTGTCATCCAGGTAGGTAGCTGGTAGGTAGGTATGCAGGTAAGCAGGCAAGCAGGATCCTGTGAATCCTTCTAGTAGTGGTCCCCTCTATCCCACATTGTTATAACTTATCAAAAAGAAAAATGTGGTCTATGTTATCAAATGCCTTAATGAAGTCCAAGGATTTTCCTGATTCATTAATTTATCAAGGTTCTTCAGAANCTTTATAGGAGCCTGGGGAGGGCGAAAACAGCCTCCCCCCCCCCGGATGCCCTCCGGAGGCTTCAGGGAAGTTCCTGAAGTGCAAAGTGCAAAAAACCCAGCCTTACAGGCAAACCGGAAGTTTGGGAACGGACTTCCGGTTTGCTTGTAAGGCCGGTTTTAGCCCTCCGGAGCCTTCAGGGCCCTTCCGGAGGCGGACGAAAAATAGCCCTAGGGACAAACCGGAAGTCATTTTTTGCCCTTCAGAGCCTTCAGGGGAAGCCTCCGGAACTTCCGGTTTGCCTATAGGGCTGGTCTTTTACGCTCTGGAGGCTTCAGGGAAGCTCCTGAAGCCTCCGGGTGGGGCTGTTTTTGCCCTCCCCAGGCTCCTATAAAGCTTCTGGAGCCTGGGGAGGGTGAAAAATAGCCTCAAAAGAAGGCCTCACGTGCCCTGACAAATAGCTCTGCGTGCCACCTGTGACACGCGTGCCATAGGTTCACCATCCCAGGTATAGGGTCTTCTGCTTTTGACCGGCGTGTTGAACTAGAAGACCTCCAAGGTCCCTTCCAACTCTGTTATTCCTAAGGCAAGCAAATCTCTTAAGTAGGGCAAGTGATAAAAAAGCTCTGTCCTGTCACCTTAGCTTCTTTTTCTAATAAGCCAAAAACCTTCGAAGCTGATGTCAATACAGGTAGTCCTTACCTAGTGACCAAAGTTACAAAGCACTGAAAAAAGTGACTTCTGGCCATTTTTCAGACTTATGACCATTGCAACATCCCCATGGTCATGTGATTTATATTCAGATACTTGACAACTGACTCACATTTATGATGGTTGCAGTATTCTCGGCTCATGTGATGATCTTTTGCCACATTCTGACAAGCAAGGATGAGCAGTTAAGCCTGATTCACTTAACAACCAGGTTACTAATTTAACAACTGAAGTGATTCATATAACAAATGTGGCAAGAAAAGTTATAAAATGTGGCAAAAGTCACTTAACAAATTTCTCACTTAGCAACATAAATTTTCAGCTCAATTGTGATGGTAAATTGTGAACTACATTTCTGTACATTATTTTAAGTACAGTCAATCAAACAACTTGGTCCCGTTCTAGAAAATTTTCCCAAACGTAGAGCTCTCTATATATCTTTGGAGACTTAAGATTAAAACTTTTGAAGTTACTAGCTCCCCAGTGAATACTGGTGAAGGTTTTAAAGGAGCACATCAAATTAGAGCTGTAGTTATGCAATTGGATTGGGAAACAATGGATGAACTAGTTAGGTTCACAATTATGTTAATATCAATTAGAAACCAGCAGGTGGTGCTATTTTACAACTACTTTTTTTACTTTTCTCTACAATTACTGATTCAAGCCATATTTGGAAGAATCTTATTCAGAGGAAAATACACGTGACCATATCTACTGCTGTAAATCATTCCCAGACAAAAATCCCCTCATCTCCACTCAAAAATTAAGCAGCATAATGCTTTTATTGTATCTTATTAGTTTTTCTTTAGGCATTTTACCTTTTGCCAAGTATGGTAAATCATAAGAAAGACTGTGAAGGACCAACTCATTACATAACAAATCCCGATAGGCTATTAATCTGCAGTCCTTCAAACTCCTTGTTAAACATAATGGGTGAAAATTGATGTTTCCTATCATTTTGAGATAGGAAATACATAAGAACTGTTATGTGAAGCCTGAAATAGGTATCTCATAAAAAGTAACAAATTTCAATACTCGATTCAGTGATGTGGTATGAGAAGGCAAGGTGCCTAGAAAATGGACAGCATCTGTGCTGCTCTTGCCTGCCTTTTTAAGCCTCCGCAGCCAGCACAGCCAGGTTGGCTATAAATACTGTGCTTCAAGAGACCTGGGTATGATAGTACTGATGCGTGGAAGAAAAGGATATAGATTTGAGTTTGTGTGTGTGTAAATAAAGTAGTTAGAAAGAGATAATTTTCTCTAGTAGTAGGACTCGCAAGGAGTTGTAGTTGGAGGAGCAATAGTAGATAAAGGGGAAGATTGGAGTAATGATAAACAGGGAATACTAGTCTGCAAATACCTATGTGTTGCCTAGGGAGCTGTGTTGTTGTGTTGGCTGAGTGGATGTTGAGATGAACTCTTATCACGTGGCCAGGGCCCCAGACTCAGGCACAAAATAAAGTTTTCAAGTCCCAAATAGAAGTCAAACAGGGACAGGGTCAATATAATCTTAGAGGGATGATGTTCCAAAGATTGGTCACCACGGCCAAAAAGGCTCTTTCTGGATCCCATCCGCCAGTACTCTTTAGCCAATGCTACCTGCACCATGCCCATCCATCCTGATTGGGTAAGAAGAGATAATTAGAGAGAAAGAACTGTGATGATTAGAGAGGGAGAACCTAGTTCCAACCATGAAGGGCTTTAAAGGAGATAACCAGAATCTTGAATTGTATCCAGAACGACACTGGAAGCAATATTGGGAAACAATAATGTCACATGCACCAAGTAAATGACACTGTTAACTGCCTGTGCAAATGCATTCTGCACCAGTTAAAGCTTCTAATACTCTTTAAGGGTAGCCCCATGTAGAGTAGATTATAATAACCCAGCCTATTTAGCAACGGCTAAATCCAGCCAGAGGTTGCTAAGGCATGAATGACTGCAAGCAGAGTCCCCAGACCATGAACGGGTGCACCTGACATGTAGCCCAAAATTGCACGACGATGCTCCAAGCCATGATGACCATTTTGCTCCTTGAACAGATGCAGCAAGTCCAAGGCAACTCCAAAATTGTGCATTGGGTTTTGTCTGTGGGAGTATCATCCCAGCCAGAACCAGAAATGAAAGATTTTGGACCAGGAGGTCCAAAACATCAGAGCTGCTTGAATTGAGCTGAAGCTGTTGTATCCCATC